AAGAAGAAGAAGAAGAAGATGCTTACCGAGGGAGGGAAAGCTCGACAGGGAAGGATGATGGCGAATCCACGGAGGCCGAGGCGGACAGGGGCTGGGCGACGACGTCTCCACCTCATTCGTGTTCGAAGTCCAAAGCAAACAGGGTGCACATCTCCAAAGCGGCGGGAGTTGGGAGTGTTTGAAGGGACGGCCTATGCACATCTCCCACCCGAATGTTCAAAAACAGGCGGCCTATCTGGGCCGTCGATCTCACCAGATCGACGGTCCAAATAGGTCGGCAATTTTTCAAGATTTAGGCGGCCATACTGAACACGGTCCGATTTTTTTTGGGGCCGGGAGGCCTCCATGACCTGCATGGAGGCCTCCCGGCCCCAAAAAAAATTGAACCCCCCCGCCTCCATAACCTGCATGGACGCCTCCCGGCCCCAAAAAAATTTGAACCCCCCCCATTCGAAATGCACAAATGGCAACCGAGGGGGAACCGACACGGTCCAACCGGCCCGGTTCCGGTAGGGGAAGGGGGCCCCGGTAGGACCAGGTATGCAGCCTTGCTACAATCTAGTTGAACCATACCAGACTTTGCATCCGGGGACAAGAGCCGTCACATTGGTTAAAAAGAATCATGTCCACCATACCGCTTTCTCTTTCATTGACTATTTCCTGATCTTAGGGACACTAATGGGGACAACTCATACCCATCGAACTCTTAATCAGCTTTGAACAATATGTCGAAAAGGGGTCCAACTTTCACAAACTCAATAACTCCCTCCTACTGAGCCGGACTTTTCAGGTAGGAGTTCAGGATTGTTGGCAGAATTTGAGGGGCGCCTACCTACCCATACAGGATCGGTGGGAGTGGTAGGAGAGCTATTCCACATTATCACAGACGGTTGCTAGAATCTCAAGGAAATTAGCAGCCGACGGGGAACAAAGGAAGCAAGCGTTGGAGACAGCCCTGAAGATCGCAGAGACAGATCTGATTGATAACCCCTATTCTGCACTTTACACATACATTTTCGAAAAGGCAAGAGAAGAACGCACTATATGGAGATGGTGGGAACTAAAGGGACTACAAACAAGAGCTGAATTAACGAATATGAGCTAACTCAAGGGCCAGCGTGATAGAAAGCCTGAAAACCCTCTCAAATCCAACTGAAACAGTGATAGACAGCGAAGGAATGCTGAACGTAGCAAAGGAATTCTACGAATAGCTCTATCACACGAAGACCCCTACGCCTACTCCGGCCAGCACCAGAGAGGCACGGACTAGGATGCTGCAATACCTGGAACAAACGATATCTCAAGAACAAGCAGAAGCTCGAGCCTTCTTTCATGTATTGGTTGAAGACTCAAAGCTTATGATTACCTCCACTGGTTTATGGTCAAGGCCAGCATAGGGGCCCCAATCTGGGATTTTGATTTGGTTTTCCTCAAATCCTGGCACAGCCATTCTAAGCGGTGTGGGCCTTTGCATAAAACGCTGATGCGAGCGCACCGCTGGCCGTGAGGTTGCCTCAACTTGCCTGTCATAATCTAACACTCGATTTGCAACTAGCGCAACCACCGCACTAGCAGACGACTTCACTCCTCTGTCCCACAAACTGGTCATCAGCCTTACAATTACACTTTAACCTGGTTCTCACCTGCCATCAAACTTGCCATACCCGCTGCATGAGACAGGAGAAAACCGGCTAACCCTCCATCACATCCTTATTGCCTTCAGTATGTCCTTCTTCATCAATGCTGTGCATGGACCCCAACCAAACACATGCACAAACCTTTGTATGTATGTTTCAGCCGATGTTTGCCATTTGCGTACTTGGCTGTTAGCTGGGCCCTGCAGTATTCCTTCCAGGACTGTTTGAAAGGCAGCCACAGCTGAGGACGATGAAGAAAAGGAGGAGGGGAGGAAAAGAAGAAGAAGACGACGACGACGACGATGACGAAGAAGAAGAAGAAGAAGAAGAAGAAGAAGAAGAAGAAGAAGAAGAAGAAGAAGAAGAAGAAGAAGAAGAAGAGGAAGAGGAAGAAGACGAAGACGACGGTGAGGAAGAAGACGACGACGACGAAGATAGACAATGATGACGACGACGAAGAAGAAAGAAGAAGTCGACGGCGAAGAAAGAAGAAGGAAGAAGAGGAGGACAAAGAAGAAGACGAAGACGAAGAAGAAAAAGAAAAGAAGAAGAAGACGACGACGACGACGACGACGAAGAAGAAGAAGAAGAAGAAGAAGAAGAAGAAGAAGAAGACAATGAGGAAGAGGAGGAAGAAGAAGAAGAAGAAGACAATGAGGAAGAGGAAGAAGAAGAAGAAGAAGAAGAAGAAGAAGAAAGGAGGAGGAGGAGGAGGAGGAGGAGGAGGACTCTCCAATTACCATCTGAGATGTCAAAAATGTCAAGGCTTGTAAAGAGGAAAAGTGTATGCTGTCCCAGCTGTCTAGAAATGCCATGCGAACAACATTCGGCCATGGGGCACCTAAAAATTCCCTAACTCGTAAAAATAGAAGATAAAATTTACAGCTGTGCAATGTGTTGACAAGTGGGCGTATACCAGTAAGTGGTAGTGCAGATGATTGGTCCATGCCAGCCAGTGAGAAAGTGGAGCGATGGGTCTATGTACTGGAGCGATGGGTCTATGTACTGGAGCGATGGGTCTATGTACTGGAGCGATGTTTTCTTAGGATGACTGCCACATTTTGTCGAGAAGTTACTCTTTTATCAACCGTTACTGATTTTGTAATGATTGTTGATCACAAAGCCAAAGATTATGTGATTGGTGAAGGATTATTTCTTTTTTTCGCCGATTCAGTGCTCCGATTGGCAACTTTATGGAAATAATAAAAGAAATAAAAGACTGCCAACTGTAGCCCGATGTCCGATCTACGTATACGTGCACAGCACGCCGATCTGTTGACCTGGTTAGCGCCCCAAGCCTTACAAAATCCAGTCACGTAATGTCATAGCAGCCGCCTTAGCTCAGCTGTTTCCAAAGGCCAGTCTCTGTGACGCGCAAGGGATTTCCCCATTTCACAGCTGAGTCCCACCTGTCCGTTCTGATTGATGCAATTGAGGAGACCGTCAAACAGTTGAGGCCGACTCGATCCATCTTGCTTCCTCCCAGACGACTGCAACTGGGTATCCTTGAATGGCTTGCATGCTGCCTGGATAATCTGCAGAGGGTCTCCATGGCTCACCAACAAGATAGCGCACCTGCATCAGACCGGGAGAGCAAAAACATCAGACATTCTCCTCACAGAAAGGCGCAATCAGACACGGTTCCACGTACTCTTTTGCTGGTCATTTTCAATTTCACTCTTCTTTCAAAGGCCACATCAGCTGAGCAATCAGCCTGCCTGAAATGGGCCTTAAAGTTTTTCGTTGTTTTGTTTTGCTTCCCCCTTCCCCACACACAATTGTTCAGAACAAAAGTTTTCTCTGTTCGCCATGCATGACTGATCACCTTCGTAAGGCTTCGTTATTTCGGTTTGCTTTTTTTTTTTTTTTTTTTTTTTTTTTTTTTTTTTTTTTTTTTTTTTAATTTGGACCATTTCTCGATCTATGCGTGTCATCCTTGTGCAGGGGCCATGCTAATCTTCATTCTCTGTATCGTTCCAACTTTAACGCATGTCCCGAAGGACATTGTTATTTTGGTTTGCTTCCCCCTTCCCCACACAAAATAGTTCATAACAAAAGTTTTGTTTGGCCCAGATCAGCTGAGCAACCAGCCTACCTGAAATGGGGCTTTTTCTTTCATTTTTTTTTTTGCTTCCCCCTTCCCCACACACAATAGTTCCTAACAAAAGTTTTGTTTGTTCTGCATGCACGCCTGATCGCTTTCGTTATTTTGTTTTGCTTCCACCTTCCCCACAGGGCCCACACAAAATAGTTCATAACAAAAGTTTTGCTTGTTCAGCATGCACGACTGATCACTTTTGTAATTTGGTTTGCTAACTTTGCTTCCCCCTTCCCCGCACAACATAGTTCATGACAAAAGTTTTGTTTGTTCGGCATGCATGACTGATCACTTTCATTAACTCAAATAAAGCTCAAAATTCAAATAGGTGATTGGTTGCGATTTGAGACCGGACAGGTGCACCAGAGGAAGACAGGGCCCTGTGGGTCCCCTGCTTTCATATACCGAAAGCTAAGACGGAGTCCTGTTACAATTTTGGCAAAATAATTTTGCGCTTACAGTTTTTAACATCTGAAGAAAAGACAAACCTGCAAACATTTCGTGACTGAAGCAAACGAATAGACATTACATTAAAATTTAAAAGTGGTTTGCAGCCAGGGTTTTTGAAGGCCAGATCAGCTGAGCAATCAGCCTACCTGAAATGGGGCTTTTTTTTTTTTTTTTAATTTAGACCATTTCTCGATTTATGTGTGTCATCCTTGCGCAGGGGCCATGCTCATCTTCTCTGTATCGTTCCAATTTTAACGGATGTCCCGAAGGACAAAATGGGTGGGGATTTTTCTTTCATTGTGTTTTTTGCTTCCCCCTTCCCCACACCACACCTGAAATGGCCAATTCACATTCGCTCTTCTCTTGTGGTTAGTAATTCAAATAAATGGCTGTTTCAAATTTTTCAGTTTGCAGGATGCTCTCATCTTGATTCGCTTCCGCCAACCTATGGATGCGCCTCCTTCCCTCGCTCCTTTTGCTTTCCTCTCCTCGAGCCCTTAAAGCACAAGTACACGGCCCCAGCCTTGCAGAAACTTAAACTTGTTGCCACAAAGCTAACAAGCAGGACTCCGAGTCTATCGAAACAACTATCATTTCCCATACCAGAAAATTTGGGGCTCGGGGAAGGCCCGGTAGTGTGCGACGGGTGAGGAAGCTATCGGGCCCGAGGAGAAGGGGCAAAGGGACTTCACGACATCCTGCGGGTTCATGCTGTGCATGTGAAAACGCACATGCACGGGTAAGAGGGAGAAATAACGTGCCCTTGCTATTGTCAGAGCCCGCCTCTCATGGCAGGCCCAGAGGAAAAGACACCATCAGAGGAGATCATACGAGCAGGGGAGAGCAGAGGAAAAGACGACCCCACTCACATTACAAAGCTATGGACGTTATTGCAGTCAGATTCATCGAGGTCTGGCCCAATTTGCTCTGACGGCAATTGCGGCCTCACTTGGACGAATCTGGCTGCAATCGCATCCAGAGCTTTGGAATTGAAGGTTCTGTTGTGAGCGCACCCTCGGTTACCTGATGGGAAGAGAAGCAAAAAATAGATTCATTTCTTTTTTTTTCTTTATTTCGTGAGATTCGTGATTTCACGAACCCTTTCTCCTTTCTAGTTGAGGCCCTTCTCATACTATAAAGCTCTGGACGTGATTGCAGTCAGATTCGTCCAGGTCGGCCCACATTTGCAGTCAGATGCAAGTTGGGTCAGACCTCCACGAATCTGACTGCAATCGCGTCCAGAGCTTTGGTGTGCATGGCCCCCGCGTGTATTTTCCCGCCCTCCTCTCACAGCAGAAGCCGTGAGAGGCGGACTCCTCAACCCTTGTTTCTTTTTCGTTTTCCCGCTTTGTTATTTGTCATCTCGTTTCTTTCTTTTTCTTTGGTGGTGGTGGTGGTGGGGAGGTGGAATTTGTCATCTTGTTTTGGTGACTTGTGCTGCTAGGCTTCTCCTTTTCTGTTCTTTTATTTTTTGTTCTACCTGTATCAGGCATTCCAGGTGGGCCAGACACAGGGGCTTGACGACTGCTAGCCTCAGCAGGTGAGTGAAAACGACCGCCTCCTAGTGTTCCATCTGCTAGCCCAAGGTCTAGCACTCAATCGAAGACAGGTCGGTACAGGTACCGCATTCAATTTTCCAAGTGCTGGTACTTGTGCCCTTCAGGCTTTTGGCAAAATTCAAATTCCGGCTCGTACATTTCGCCTCGGGTGTACTGGTGGTTTAACCCTACGTTCCCGGCTGTCCATCCACCTCCCTCCTCTGCCCCCCTGACAGATACACCCACTTTCAATTCCTCCTTCCAGTCATAGATACCCAGCCTTCCAGTCATTAGATACTCCCCATATAGATAACGCCTGACAGATAACCCCTCATTGCGCTCATCTTGATCCGCTTTAGCCTCGGGCGTACTGGTGGTTTAACCCTACCTTCCCACCCATCGCCCTCCTCTCCCCCCCCACCCACACACAGATACCCCACTTTCCATTCATAGATACCCCTCCTTCCAATCATAGATACCCAGCCTTCCAGTCATTAGATGCTCACCATATAGATAACACCTCATTGTGCTCATCTTGATTCGCTTCCACCAACTCATGGATGCTCCTTCCCTCGCTCCCTTCATTTTCCTCTCCTCGAGCCCTTAACCCTACCTTCCCAGTCGTCCACCCATCTCCCTCCTCTCCCCCCCCCCCCCCCCCCCCCCCCCCCCCCCCCCCCCCCCCCCCCCCCCCCCCCCCCCCCCCCCACAGATACCCCGCTTTCCATTCATAGATACCCCTCCTTCCCATCATAGATACCCAGCCTTCCAGTCATTAGATACTCCCCCTTACAGTCATAGATACCCCCCATTCCGCTCACAGATAACCCCTCATTATCTGGGGTCAGCGAGCAACCAGCAGAGGCCAGCCACCCTCCACACAAATCCAAACTATCTTCTGATATGGAGCTGAACGATGGTGCCAACTTGCAGATATGCTGGCACTGCTACGGGCATAATGAAGTTTGTTTGGGCCTTCTCGTGCTTCGGCCAGACATGAACGATGCCCAATTACCAAAACCCCAACTCTCACTACGTCATATGTAATCCTGATTGAACACTTGAGTGCATCCATGTGGAGAAACTCCAAGCTTTAGCAGGACCATCACAAGCTCCTGGAGTGAAGAGCTTTTTACTCAGCTCACCAACAATTGCGCACCAAGCACTGGCTGGACGGCTGGTGAACAATTTGTGCAGAGTCTGGAGACATCCCCAGCTTTCTATGAATGTCATATGAGAGCAGCTATCACTCTGAAACAAGCATGGCATACAAGGAACCACTTCTCTTCCATATAAACAGTTAAAAGACAGAAAGAAAACGGCAAAAGAAGTTTTCCTTTTCATGGACGCGAATGCTGCAAAGCTGCAAGGGAAATGCGTAATACCAAGACAATTTTTCTTGAAGCTCCATCAGAGTAACACCGATGCACCTTACCATTAGCTCAGTGACACACAACTGCACATGCTAATGAATGCACAAAAAAATTTGCATGTACACTCTGGAGAGGGGAATACAGACAAACACAAATAAAATAGTGACCCGCTTAGGAATCTGGCCTACTCAATACGCTGCCGCATTCCTACTTACGACTTAGAACTTACCCTTTCAGTTCCTTTTCCAGTCTTGCCACCACACCAGCCATGCGGATTGCGACATCCACCACACTCTCCCCTCCCTCTGGACCTCTACAATAGTCTGCCCGATCCACTTGCCAGACCACTGGATACTGATCAACAACCACACAGAAATTGCACCAGTGTTACACAGTAAATACAAACCATTCAAGAAAGCAGGGCTATGCACGTGATTCACTTTATAAAGTTTATATCTTCTTCGTATAAATAACCTGCTTGAAGACTCGTCCTCTGAATCATGTACCAGATCTGTGGTTCTGAAAGTTAGGTGAGCGTTGGACCAACAACCATACTCAGGTCCCGAACTTGTCGATTCCAACCATTCCAGTAAGCGCTGTCAGCAGCACCCATCAGCAGATCGCCGGGTTCTGCAAAGGAGAACTTGTTGGACATAAGCTGTAATCGTTTGTTTGTCTGTTCCTTCCTTCTCGACCTCCCTTCCTCCCTCCCTTCCTCCCACCTTCCTCCCTCCCCGCGTTCCTCCTGCATTTCTTTCCTCCCTTCCTTCCTCCATCCCTCCATCCCTCCATCCCTTCCTCCCTTCCTCCCTTCCTCCCTTCCTCCCTTCCTCCCTCCCTCCCTTCCTCCCTCCCTCCCTGCCTGCCATTCTCTGCTGCAATGACTCCTACCCTAAACCAATGCTGTGATACTTTAGTAGCAGACTAGTAGTCCTCCCTCCCTCACTCCCTCCAACCTGTCTCTTATACACATCTAGATGTGTATAAGAGACAGGAGAGTGTGTGTGTGTGTGTGTGTGTGTGTGTGTGTGTGAGAGAGAGAGAGAGAGAGAGAGAGAGAGAGAGAGAGAGAGAGAGAGAGAGATCCTGCATTTCTTTCCTCCCTTCCTTCCTCCATCCCTCCATCCCTCCATCCCTCCCTCCCTTCCTCCCTCCCTCCCTTCCTCCCTCCCTCCCTCCCTCCCTCCCTTCCTCCTTCCCCCCTTCCCCCCTCCCATCCTTCTGCGCTTCCTTCTTTCCTTTTGATTCATCATTCATTAAGAATGCGAGTCACCTACTGAGAATTCTTCAAAGAAAATAAGAACACAGTGATCAAGAGAGCCAGGAGTGAGAGTGAGTGAGTTCCATCCATTCATCTGTCCATCCATCCATCCATCCATGGATGCCTTCATCCTCCTCCATCTGCATGTGCTAGAGTTCTTCAGGGTCTCCTCTTCTCCCCCCCTTCCCCCCCCCTTCCCCCCCCCGTTTGTCCATCCATCAGCCAGTCCCACCGTCCATTCATCATCCATCCACAAAACTTTCTATTGTCTGTCCAGCATCCATTAACTGCCCATGCTCCATCTGTCCTTGAGCCATTTCACCCACGCCATCTGTCTGTGCACCCCATGTCCATCCATCGATCCCTCCATCCATACGTCCTCCCAATCATCGGTCCCTCCGCCCATGCCTCCACCTGTCTCTCTCCTGTGCCTCCATCCGTCAATTCATGCATCATCTGCATCTTCTGTGCCTCCATCCGTCTCTCTCATGCACCCCTTATCTTAAAAGAGGACGGACGGCCGTGGCCTTGGCAAGGGATGCCGGGGGGCTTCGGGAAGAAATGGTTTAACAAGGGGGTATTTCCGATGGCCCATTAATGGGACTCGCAACGACGGACATGGCGGGATGAGGATGACGTCATCGCAAAGCCGCCGCACCTAGTCGCAACATCGCAAAGATTGCACGCCTTACAGGAAGCCGTACCAGCAGACTGGGTGGAACAGATGTCCCGTGACGACAAGGTAAAGGGAGAGTGGGTGGCGGTTCAAGGCCTCCCGGAACCGGTGACACGTTACCAGATCCAAGCCGGTGATCGGCAGCAGGGGTATGAGGCACAAGCCTGGAGATGCAAAGGAGGCCTGGCAACCCTGGGAAAGCCCCTTCAGCCGATGCCGGGCAGCCTGCACCACCTGCGATATCTACTCCGTAGCAGTGCTCAGGGACAGGGGCAGGACGAGGCCGGTCCCTCTCACGCCTTATCGTGTAGCCACTTCTGCCCGGGACATTGAACTGGGAAAGCCCCTTCAGCCGATGCCGGGCSGCCTGCACCACCTGCGATATCTACTCCGTAGCAGTGGACAGGGACAGGACGAGGCCGGTCCCTCTCACGCCTTATCGTGTAGCCAGTTCTGCCCGGGACATTGAACTGGACCCCCGGAACTTGGAGCTCCCCTCCCAAGAGAGCCTGGATCGCCTGCATGCCATACTCCAAGTCACCACGAACGCCTTGTACTGGGCACAGCTCCCCCGATATGATACACACGCGGAGATCAAGGCTAGGTGGGCTAAAAGAGGGTGGGTATCGAAGCAGGATTTGCAGACCTGTACGCAAAAGGCATGGGCGGCGCACTGGGCCATCATCTATACCCTGCCAGACCAAAGGCAGGCGGGATTCTTGTGGCTAGTGGTGCACTTGGTGGTCCCCGCGCTGGAGCGGATCGTGGCGAGGAGCTGGTATAAGGAAAGCACGTGCGTAATCTGCAAGGCCCAGCAGGAGACACTGGATCATCTCCTCCTCCTCCCTGCCCATGCGTGAGAGCTTCCTGGGACCGGTGGCAAGTCAGGCAGCACAGCCTTCCATGGCCCCGGGAGCATGATGCCTGGGTCCTGCTGGGCTCTCTGCTGACTGCGGGCCAGGCCAACCTGAGGAGGGACCACGTCCGTGCAAGGGAAATCCTAAGGGCGGCGGCGCTGTGGGCGGTTTGGTGCTGCCGTAATGAAGCAGCGAGAGAGGGCCAAGCGTCAGCACTGACCCAAATCATGAATTATTTTCAGGACAACCTCAGGGCACTGCTGCAGGCAGAAACTAATGTGTAAAGTCGGCTGCATGTCATAGCTTGGAAACTTATACGTATATGCAGCTGTGTGTGATTAATTGGGTTTGGAAAAGGCAGGGAAAGTACCGAGTCCACACGAATCCATCTTAAGGATGCAGTGATATGAGTATGTAGAAAATCAGCCTCATGCTACTCGCGTAAGCAAAGCACAGCCTCATGCTACTCACCTGAGCCTAGTATTGAGATCGGAAAGGAACTTATAATAGACAGAAACGTTGGGAAAGGGAATGAGGACGACCGTACACGGAAGGAGAAATCGGTCATAGAAATGTCATTTACTGAGATAGCGGGTAGGACAAATATAGTGCGCAGCAACAGCGCCTCAAGAGGGAGGCAAACAGGGTGAGAAGGAAATGGTATGTTTTTGTGGGGAGGGGGAGGGTAAGGGCTGAGAGAGGGGTAGCGGGTAATGCCTGGGTACCAAGGGGAGTCTCCTGGTTGACCTCGAGCCTTTCAGGGCCCATAATTTGTACTCTTATGTATTCCATCTTTTGCTTGCCCGGGGAAAGTAACCGGACTGGTGCCCCCCAGAATAGAAGGGGCGAGTGTGTGTTTGGGTGGGGAAAAAAAGAAAAAAAGAAAAAAAAGAAAAAAGAAAAGAAAAAAGAAAAAGAAAAAAGAGAGAAACTGGACTGGGTTACACAACTTACACTATTTACCGCAGAATATCCGGAGACGCCCTGCGTTGCTGGCAGGGCACGATTTTAGACAGAAACTAAACAAGAGAAAAAAGAAAACGAAGGATTTGGAAGCAATAGCCGTCAGATACATTCTGGAAAGTCCTTGTGTGAGTATCCCCTCAGTGAGGGCCTTCCCAGAGAACGCGGCATTCAAAGAGATACAAAAGAAGGAAAAAACAAGAGAAAGATTTGGCTGTGATAGCGGTCAGATACATTCTGGAAAGTACTAGTGTGAGTATGCCCTCAGTGAGGGCGTTTCCAAGCACGTGGAAAACGCACTGCCTCGCTGGCAAGGCACTAAGAAGCAAAAAAACAACAAAAAAGATTTGGCCGTAATAGTGGTCGGATACATTCTGGAAAGTACTAGTGAACTATATGCCCTCAGCAAGGGCCTTCCAAGACATCATTGATCTCGCTTTGTTTTTTTTTTCTTTGTTTTTTGAATTTTTCCCCTTGTCTTTTTCGTGCCAGCAAATGACACAGCACTTCAGTTTCAAGTTAGGCTGGCACTGGTACCTCCCTCAAAGAAAGCAATGACGTGCGCTGTATACTGCAGGCTTGGGAAGATGTAAATTTTGGTTTGACAATTTAGCTTCGGTTGGAGTGGTGGTTTAACGAACCAGTACATCCGCACGCGCCTCTTTTGTACGGGGCGGATTCCCACTGTGCAGAAACACTAGCGCGGCGTTTTTGTTTTAGTTTTGGCTGGCGCCGCCAGCTATTTTGGTCCGGTTGCTCCGAACCTCCTATTTTTTTGGAGAGGCTCGGTTATGATTCTCAAGTTGGATGGGACCATGCACTGGTGGTTTAAGCCTGGTCTGAGGTATAGCAATTTGTGATTACAGTGTGCAGTCTGTGTGTTTTATCAACTTTTATGGTTCAAGGTTATGGTTTAAGGTTATGGTTTAAAGATTGGGTTTTAGGGTGTAAGGTTAGGGTTTAATGGAACTTTATTAACCTTAAAACCCTAAACGCAAAACCTAACCTTCAAGTGTCTGGGGTTCAAGGTTAGGGTTAACAACTTAACACTTGAAAACAGTTTGGTCTTTGGATTGTTTTGTTTTTGTTTTTGTTACTTCAGAATTATTTCATTCTGTTCATCTTGATTGCATCTGGATTCGAAGTTAAGTCTCTATTTCAACAGTTCTTGGGTGTACCAACTGAGCTAGGCCCCGTTGGTGGTCTTTGGGTTTTGGCAGTTATGGGATTCTGTTTCTTCATCTAGAGATCAGAATTGAAAAGTTAAAGCTTTAAAGTGGAGAAGCTGGTAAGCCTTGCATAGGTCCAGAAGAGGACGAGGCAAGTAGGGTATGAGTCTGAGATGAGGTTTAAACCGCCAGTACCTCCGAGCCTCTGTTTCCCGACGCGGATTTGTGCGCCAAAGAAAGAACGGACTGCCAGCGGTCCACTTTTTCCCTTTTTTTTTGCTGGCGGCACCAGCCATTTCGGTCCGGTAGCAATGTTCATCTGAAATCTTCGGAGCGAGTCAATTTCAATTCTCACATTGCTTGGGCAGGGTACTGGCGGTTTGACACTCGCGGTTTGCTCTTTGGGTTTTGGCAGTTACAGGGTTTAGGGTTTAGCTTCGATGTACTCTACAGATGAGGATTGAGAAGCTCAAGCTTTCAAGTTGAGAAGCTGGTAAGCATTGCATAGGTTCAGAAGGGGAGGAGGCAGGTCACGGTTTTTTTTTTTGAGGGGGGGGGAAGGGGCAGCGGGGGCGGGCAGAAAGGCAGGGTTGTCTGGTTGGGATTGTAGAGTTTCAGAGTTTCAAGCTTGAAGTCGCAAAACAGATGGTGCTTGACTTTTTTTTTCAAAATTTTGGACAATTTCTCGATTTATGCATGTCATCCTTGCGCAGGGGCCATGCTAATCTTCAAGTATCGTTCCAATTTTAACAGATGTCCCGAGGGACAGGTGGCGCTTGACTTGAATCCTATAATCTCATAATCTACAATCAACAAGGTTGTCTGGTTTGGGGTGTAGATTATTAGCTGTTGCCTTCTGCTGTAAAACTGATCGTTAGGGTTTGGAAGCGTTGGGGATCAGCATTTAGAGTCTCAAGTTCCAAGTTGCAAAAAACAGAGTGCTTGATTGAATGTTAAAACATTGTACTGCTTCATAATTTATGATCATTCACGGGCCGTTTCGGCCTGAACATCCCCAAGGAAATCACTCACCCATTTGTCTGCAGACTGAAGCTCCATAGCAGGGCCAAAGTACCTCTCCCTAAGCTCTGGAATCACCTGCAGACCAGAACAATGATGACTTAGCCACACTTGATGGACCTGCGGCTCATGTAAAGTCTTAGGGATGATGAGTGGAATGGATGAAGCAAGGGCTGGTGTCGCATGCCTGAGAATCGGAAAGGCATGGCGCAGAACACAAGAACCTACGGAAGGAGAAAGGGCAATGATAATGCAGCGGAAGACTGAAATACAAAGATCTGACTTGTCACGACTCAGGATCGACTGCATACATCCATCACCTCATCACACACAATGGACATGGCGGCTCACACATGGACGATAACCGCCATGTCAATAATGCATCCAGGGACGAAGGAGGTGGAGGAAGATGCGAGGTGGGGAGAAGAAGACAGAGACGTCAACTCAAGTAGCCCTGCGAATGAACAGTCTCCAACAATAATATACAATGTCCGGGTCTGGGAAATCGTCCGAATGTCACCAAGCCTCAACTCTCTCTCTCTCTCTCTCTCTCTCTCTCTCTCTCTCTCTCTCTCTCTCTCTCTCTCTCTCTCTCT